ATGATTTCCAGTAGATGGGGACAATTAGATTTAAAGATCATTAAGTAATCACTTTTTAATAGTTTAATGATCTCCAGTAGATGGGGACAATTAGATTTAGAGATCATTGAGTATAAGTTATCAGTACATCTAGTTCTTTCTATTTAATAATTTAATAATTTCCAGTAGATAGGGACAATTATATTTAAAGATCATTAAGTAATCAGTACATCTAGTTCCTTCTTTTTAATAATTTCCAGTAGATGGGGACAATTAGATTTAAAGATCATTAAGTAATCACTTTTTAATAGTTTAATGATCTCCAGTAGATGGGGACAATTAGATTTAGAGATCATTGAGTATAAGTTATCAGTACATCTAGTTCTTTCTATTTAATAATTTAATAATTTCCAGTAGATAGGGACAATTATATTTAAAGATCATTAAGTAATCAGTACATCTAGTTCCTTCTTTATAATAATTTCCAGTAGATGGGGACAATTAGATTTAAAGATCATTAAGTAATCACTTTTTAATAGTTTAATAATTTCCAGTAGATGGGGACAATTAGATTTAAAGATCATTAAGTAATCACTTTTTAATAGTTTAATGATTTCCAGTAGATGGGGACAATTAGATTTAGAGATCATTGAGTATAAGTAATCAGTACATCTAGTTCTTTCTATTTAATGATTTAATAATTTCCAGTAGATAGGGACAATTAGATTTAAAGATCATTAAGTAATCAGTACATCTAGTTCCTTCTATTTAATAATTTCCAGTAGATAGGGACAATTAGATTTAAAGATCATTAAGAAATCAGTACATCTAGTTCCTTCTATTTAATAATTTCCAGTAGATAGGGACAATTAGATTTAAAGATCATTAAGAAATCAGTACATCTAGTTCCTTCTATTTAATAATTTCCAGTAGATAGGGACAATTAGATTTAAAGATCATTAAGTAATCACTACATCTAGTTCTTTCTATTTAATAATTTAATGATTTCCTGTAGATGGGGACAATTCGATTCAGAGTTGCTTCTATTTAAAAATTGAATAATTCTTGTAGATTATATATAGGGGACAGTTATAGATTAAGTAATCAGTACATCTAGTTCTTTCTATTTAACAATTTGATATTTTAAAATTTGTATTGCAGTATGATCTGTATTAGTTATTATAAACGGTTTTTAAAAAAAAAAGCGCCGAGAAAGCGCTCAATAAGCGATTATCGGCGCCGATCATAAAATATCGTTTATGGAAACTTGCCACTTATTGTATGTGTTGTACAATGTACATTGTACAATATATTCCTGTTTTTCAGAATATATATTGTATGATATTTAGGTCGATTAATTCAGTATCGCTCTATAACATTGCAGTTGAGTTGAGTCACCTTATAATTTAGTATACGATTTTTGGAGTTCCGTTTCTGAGTTTGTTTTATTTCAGCTGTTATAAGCGAACCTAATATTTATGTGAGCCAGTTAATACTTCTATTTTAATGTGATTTAATCCACTGTGTACTTACTACTAATGTATCAACAACAACAAAAAGCTAGCCTTTATCAATAGAAAAAAAGCTAGCCTTTAAACCCACTTAAATTTCACTTCTAAACTGTGTCCATCTCTCATACGTTCCATATGTTTGGTGTATAATTTTATGAATGTGTAATATGGGATACCATTATACCTTCTCAACATTGAATCTTATAAATTAATATTAATTTTCTTTGGCGTGTGTTTCTTTAATAGTTCAGACAAATGTATTGGTATCTTTATATCAGTACTGTTGAAGGTTAACAGTATATATTTACATTATGAGTCATAATTTATGACCATTGTCAGTAACACGTCTATCCATTAAATGGTGTCAAGAAACAAAAATGAATGTGGTTCCTGCTATTTGTTGATTAAGCCAATATATTTATTATAGCTGCTGGAAGGTAAAAGCTTGGACCGAAATGCTGAATATAATTAATCTTGTAGTAGCTGTGTCCTTGCGATTTAACATACTTATTACTTATGCTAACATTTTTCTCAGCTTGAGGTGGCTACTCGATGAGGGCTTTCAAGAAGTGAAAGATGGTGCACTACAGTATCAGATAAAGAAACATGACCAGAAGGAAAGAATGTTCACATACATTAAGCAGAAAATAGAAACGTTCACTGAAACCGCTTTTTATGTCAAAGGAAGTGGGGTATGTTTTCTATTTTATCTCGAACAAGTTGTATCTTCGTACAATAAAATATATGTTTATATTCTTATGGGAATGGACAGTTTTGTATGGTTCACCTTTTTTCAGTACTATCTATTCATGAAATGGAACATGATACTGATTCAAAACTTATGGACTGTATCTGTATATTTATATAAGTAACTCGAAGCCAGGGAGTAAGATTTATTCACACTGCTACAATCTACATGAAAACATGAAAACATAAAAACATAATTACATAATACATGACAACATAATAGATTTCGATTACGTACTAAACTGTGGCTTTTTTCAGGCCAGAACCTCCAAACCAAAAACTTATACAAAATATATAAAAAGGTCGGGAGTTACAGCTGCCACATGGGAGCACAAAGGTCGGTATTTTCGGATCAGAGAACGAAAAAGGTAAGCAACTATTGTTCAAACATTAACGATTACGCTATGTAGTTAAAAACAATAAATGATAGTTAAAACAATTAATTGTTTTTAGTTTTGTCTGTTCAACAACATAGATTTAAATATTGCTGGTTTTTAATACAGACTTAAAGCCGTCTATCAAGGTAACACGACTCCTGTTCGACAGCGACATCTGTCCGACAGCGACATCTGTCCGAATCAGGGTACCAGAAAAAAACGACATCTGTCCGAAATTGTGACCTGATTTCAATACGACACATTTGCAATTAGAGACATGATCTAAACTGTTACTTGCTAAATTGTCGCCAAAAACGACTCCTGTCCGACAGCGACATCTGTCCGAAATCCCAAATTCAGCTGTCGGACAGATGTCGCTGTCGGACAGATGTCGCCCAATCGTCTATCAAGTACTTCACTTCATCAAATTGATATGTATCTATACTGATACATTGCAACTTTTTTAGGTCAAGAATCAAGATATTCATATTTCTATTTTCCAATAAATAGGTTCAATTGCCGGGCTGATGAAAGAATAACAAGACAGCCCCGTGTTAAAGTGTGTCGGGGGTCGGATTTACCCAACAAGACTATAAAGACTGGTTGTCAAGCCTACATCCAAGTGAGTTTTTTCCAAAACCGTGTCCAAGTTTCTTGTTGAAACCAGATAGCCAGTGATATGTTTTGATTTTTAGATCTGCTGTTTTTCATTTGTCATGCTGTATATTGTTCTTTTGGAGACTGCAAAACTAACTCCCAGGACCTAGTTTGTCTGGTCTATGTTTTCTAAATATTTCTACTTATTCTTGAATAATCAAGCACGTCCTTAAATGTATATAAAGTTTAATACATGAAATGCGTATACATAGAATAAACTCTTCCCAGTGCTATGTGTTCGATGTTCTTGATGTGAAGTACAACTCTTACACCCAATCGGAGTTGAAAGATGTGGGACTTGACTGTTTGGCTCTAAATGCCGATGAAATGTTTGGACTCTTTTTCAGCTTCCACCACGAAACCCACGAAAATTGGTAAGCCCCCTCCCTCCCCCCTCCCTCCCTCCCTCCCTTTCATCCTCCCTCACACCCTCCCTCCCTCCCTCCCTCCCTCCCTCCCTCCCTCCCTCCCTCCCTCCCTCCCTCCCTCCCTCCCTCCCTCCCTCCCTCCCTCCCTCCCTCCCTCCCTCCCTCCCTCCCTCCCTCCCTCCCTCCCTCCCTCCCTCCTCCCTCCCTCCCTCCCTCCCTCCCTCCCTCCCTCCCTCCCTCTCTCTCCTCCCTCTCTCTCTCCCTCTCTCCCTCCCTCCCTCCCTCCCTCCCTTTCATCCTCCCTCCCTTTCATCCTCCCTCACACCCTCCCTCCCTCCCTCCCTCCCTCCCTCCCTCCCTCCCTCCCTCCCTCCCTCCCTCCCTCCCTCCCTCCCTCCCTCCCTCCCTCCCTCCCTCCCTCCCTCCCTCCCTCCCTCCCTCCCTCCCTCCCTTTCCTCCCTCCCTCCCTCCCTCCCTTCATCCTCCCTCACACCCTTCCCTCCCTCCCTCCTCCCTCCCTCCCTCACACCCTCCCTCCCTCCCTTCCTCCTCCCTCCCTCCCTCCCTCCCTCCCTCCCTCCCTCCCTCCCTCCCTCCCTCCCTCCCTCCCTCCCTCCCTCCCTCCCTCCCTCCCTCTCCCTCCCTCCCTCCCTCCCTCCCTTCATCCTCCCTCCCTCCCTCCCTCACACCCTCCCTCCCTCCCTCCCTCCCTCCCTCCCTCCCTCCCTCCCTCCCTCCCTCCCTCCCTCCCTCCCTCCCTCCCTTCATCCTCCCTCCCTCCCTCCCTTCATCCTCCCTCCCTTCCTCCTCCCTCCCTCCCTCCCTCCCTCCCTCCCTCCCTCCCTCCCTCCCTTTCATCCTCCCTCCCTCCCTCCCTCCCTCCCTCCTTCATCCTCCCTCCCTCCCTCCCTTTCATCCTCCCTCACTCCCTCCCTCCCTCCCTTTCATCCTCCCTCCCTCCCTCCCTCCCTCCCTCCCTCCCTCCCTCCCTCCCTCCCTCCCTCCCTCCCTCCCTCCCTCCCTTTCATCCTCCCTCCCTCCCTCCCTTTCATCCTCCCTCCCTCCCTCCCTCCCTCCCTCCCTCCTTCCCTCCCTCCCTCCCTCCCTCCCTCCCTCCCTCCCTCCCTCCCTCCCTCCCTCCCTCCCTCCCTCCCTCCCTCCCTCCCTCCCTCCCTTTCATCCTCCCTCCCTCCCTCCCTTTCATCCTCCCTCACATCCTCCCTCCCTCCCTTTCATCCTCCCTCACATCCTCCCTTCTTCCCTCCCTCCCTCCCTCCTTCCCTCCCTCCCTCCCTCAAAAATAAAACTATTTCAGTGGCCATCTTCAGAGACCGACATTCAATCCGAAAGTTGTGGACATACTAAAAACGAATGTCGACAAATGTTGCAACTTTTGGCGGTTGAGGACAATATTTGTGAACGAGATCACAACATACTTGGGTAAGCCATCTTTAAAGTTGGAATTTCTTTCTTAGCTTCGATCAGTATTTAACCATCAAGAAATAGTTTTACACTTTTAGGGAAAGTTAGTGTTTAAAAGCTTTTCTAATTAATTGCGAATTAGGTTACACTCCCGTATTCCCATTTTATTCTGCGAAACACGCAATTGTGTATTGGTTTAACCCTTCAGTTACTGGTTGTGAATATATACAAATATTTCAGAGTCTATGCGATACCCTGTGAACATGGACAACCGTCTGTGGTTCCCAACAGTAACCGACATAAGAAATATCGTAACGGTAAAAGGTCTAGAAAAAGATAGACTCGAGGCCATTATCGAAGAACTACGTCATGAAGGAAACTCGGTCCACTACGTCGATGAGCCGGACAAGGTTATTTAAATTTTTGATGAAGTCTCCTTGAAATTGTTGCCATGTATTGTATTCAGTGTAAATAAATATAAAATACTTTAATATTTTAGGATGGTTTTCAATTTTTGTAGTGATTGATGTGTAAATTTGTAAACATTCTTTAAGGAAAATCCTCGGAACTCGAAGATGCTTTTGGTCTACCAGAACCAGACGCAAAAGGATATACTTAAACAGTTTGGTACCGTCTTGTTTATGGACAGCACGCACAAGACAAATCATTACAACTTGCCACTGTTTTTGCTCGCCTGTAGAACACCCCAAGGATACCAGGTTATAATTGTGACTTTTTTAGTTGGTTTTTATAAGCAAGAGTCTGATTCACAGTATATGTCTTTTTTGTTTCGGTTAGAAATAGAATGATCAATGATAAAAGTTAATTATCAATTTAAACGTAATATTTGAAGGTGGCCCAAAAATAACTACCCACACGGTTCCTGTCCTATGAGCAGATTCTAACCAATTAGACCATTGATTGAGTGAAGAAATCACAGATTAAGTGCCGAGATCATGTATCCGCCAGATCTTAAAATGGTCATAACCCGGTTTAGTTGTAAACAACCAACTATTATTTTGGGGAAGCACTTCAATTATCAAACCACATGTGTCTGGAGTTCCTAACTCAAAACGTTCTCACTTTGTGGTGACAAAAGAGAAAAAGAGGGAGTGGTACGCCACTCCCTCTGTAATTGATGAAATTTTACGAATATTTCAGGAAATCTAAGTTTGACCCATATCTATACTCTCTGAAATTTGCAAGCACTTCTAATGCCAATTATGTGAGTTATTTAAGGGTTGCGTGTGGGTTGCTAATTTTGGGCCAGCCTGAAGTATTACCTATATATATAATATATATAGGTATAATTATCATGATTAATTTTACCCTGGCCTCAGGTTGTCGCTTTTTTCATAACGTGTTCTGAACACCCGAACGGTGAGGAGATCATAGCAGAAGCCCTGTCGGTCATAAAGGGGTGGAATCCGGGAATGTCCCCTACATACTGTATGACCGACCAAGACATTGCGGAGATCAACGCCATGAGGGCAATCTTTCAAGGAATTCGTCCTTTTGGTGCGACTTCCATGTTAAACAGGCTTGGGACAAAAGAATTAAGTGCATCTTCAAGCTAAAAGACCTCGAAAAGAGTTAGTTTCCTACCACATTGATTTTCATTTAGGAAGTTTTGCAATTTATACGATTTATAACATGATATTTGATATTGCATTTAAGTGTTTATTGTGTGTTTTGGTACATAGAATTGTCATTCAAGTTAATTGTCATACTTTCTGCAGACGTTCCCCTGCACAGAGAATACGACAATGACAGAGGTATATGTTTTGATTTTGTTAGCATACGTGGGCAGGTTTCCATTTTGTTATCAGCGCTCACGATCGCTTAGTTAGCGCTTTTTAAAAAAAGCCGTTTTTAATCGATTATAAGCGGTTAAAAAAAATCGCTTATAGTCGACTATAATTGATGTAGTAATTCAAAAAAGCGCTTTTGTTTCCAGTAGGATTGGCTATTACAAGTGGTGGAAAAGCGGTCGGCCAGATAAGCGATTCGTAGTCGTTTTTTTGAACCATTTATAAGCAATTATAAGCGCTTATAGTTAAAGCTATAAGTTGGTTGCAATTTAGCTGATTATAAAGCGCTAAATAAGCGATTATCAGCGCTGATAACAAAATTTCATTTGAGGAAACCTGCCCATATGTGTGCACTATGTTTTCTATGTTTTAATGATTTCAGCTAAATTACATTGTTTCCTCAAACCTGGATCATATATATTAGAGGCATTTGGACAGATCCACGGCTATATCTAACTTAAGTTTTATTTTCAGCGAAAGTTGAAGCGTTCGAATGCATGCTGTATTTAATGTACGCAGAGACCCCCAACATCCACCTTCCCGACACTCGAATCGACCAATATTTCGAGGAAAGATTATGGAAGGTGATGACCAGTGACCTCTGTCTACGTAATCCCACATTTAGTAGCTATGTCCTCTATTACGCAGATCGCAGAGAAGTAAGATTTTTTGTGAAATTCTTAATTCTTTCGTTGGCATCATACATTTTGAGTTTGTTAAAACTCGAATTGAATGACGAAATGAATGACGGCTGTACCGGGTACCCAGAACAAAAATAGGCTTGAATGTTGACAAGCAGATGTTCAATAACCTTAAAATATCTCTTTATAAATATATCTTCTCAGTATTGGGCTATGCCGTACAGAAATCTGGAAGCTCTTGCTGGGGTCAGAACAAACAATGGAATAGAGTCGCTTAACAATGTTTTGAAACACAGAGTGTTTAATGGCGTATCCGCCCATCGTTCCCTTCCTCAGCTGCTAGCCTCTCTGGTTTTTGACTTTATCCCAAACAGGCTGCAGACGTATAGACACAAGGTAAAATTTTAATAAACATAATGCTTACCAATGAGAATATGAGCAAACAATATCGATCGTCGAATTATAAACATATTTGATTTTCGGTTTTATTTCTTCGCTAGTTGTTTTATAGAATCAGTTCGCATGCATAAACCCATGAGCGCAAAGTTAGCCCAATAAGCCCATAGACAATAGTCATGTAGATATCAAGTTACAAAATTACAAAATAAAATTATTCATCAGATGATATCAGACTCCGTGAGTTATAAGAGGATCGTTTCACAGAACCATGTGTTACCATCATTCTTTAATGGTATCCCGTCTAAGAATCTCATCTTGGTGAAGGTTTATATTTATAATGTACAGCTTCTTTGTTTTCGGATATTTGACATTTTTCAACCCAAATGTATGTCACTACAAAGTTATTGTTCAGGATATGAACTTTGTAATTTTCAGGAAAGTTATTTTCGATCCTTCGAAAAAACTAAAGACGACATCAGGAAACTGGGTGACCAATATGTTGTCAGGACAAAGGATTCTGAAGGAAATCCCTTCGCGTACAAGGTAATTAATACTTAATAGACTAGGATTTGTTGCAACTTGTCTCCAATAATCTGATTTAGTCGTTATTGAGTCTCGCACTTTGATTACCTTTCAAGCAATTTCTACTTTTTTCTGAATAGAATCATTGATGACAGTTTCTGATAAAAGTAACAGAAACTGTAATTATTGAGCCTATTCAGAAACATCCAGAAATTTACTGAATGATAGTTTCACCATTAGCTGACCAATAACTATTGCAGACCACAGTTTATGAAGTAATTTACCATGAGCTAACATCATGGTCAGATACTAGAATCCTTTCTAAATTCCTTTCTAAACTTGCAAAAATCTTAGGTATCTCTATCGGAAGAAGTCAGGTGTGACTGCATTAAATTCCGTGGCACACCGACGTTACCGTGCAAACATGTGCTAGCGATTTTGAGAATATATGAAATTGACTGGACGCAACTCCCGACCACATTCAGGTAAAACTTTTTTTTGTTTAACATGATTGGCCTCACGATAAAGTCAATAGGTTATTTCCTGTCGGCGAACCCATGAACCATTTCGATAACCTGGGCAACCTTGTCGAGTTCAAAGTTTGGCCTTGAATTTAAATTGAAGCTATCATGATCAAGGTTCCATGATCAGGGTGAAATATTGACTGAGGACGTCCGCCAAAAATCGCAGATTTTCAGATCACCCCCTCCCCTGTCCGGGTGTGTCCGAACAGGGGACACACTGTTCTGGATTTTCAGAAATCAACCCCCCCCCCCCCCCCCCCCCCCCCCCCCCCGTGTCCGTATTTCAGGATTTGTCCGAAATTCCAAAACCACCCCACCTCCCTGACTTCATAAGTAAATAGTCTGGCCCTGGGACATTGCTCTCGAATTCAATCGAGATCAAAATGTGATGGTTATAACAAGTGTGCCCGCATCCGTTTACTTCATTGTTGTATCTCTGAACTGTAGTAAAACTTAGCCTCGTATTTAAACCCTAATTTGTAAGCTTTAAACCGAAGTTTTAGAACTTGATTCGGAACAGCGAATGTAAAAATTTCCGGATATATTCAATATTGTTGGTTGCTTGCTGAAACGGCTGCTGATCATGCATCAATCTTAGTGAATTAATTTCATCAGACGTCAATATTATTCTTTAATTTGCTAAAAATTGTTAACAGAAAATATAAAACTATTTTTAAAACTGTTTCTTCTCACTAGCTCACTAGCAATTTGTAACTTAAAGTTTTGGCTATCAGCTGTCATCCTATAAATACAAATTATTGTTAAAAGTTTACCAAGATTTTTTCAGACTAAGTCCTCATCTCAGCGTCGACAGCACTCTAGGTAGAAACGTTTCTACTGAGTTACCTCAGCAAGTTTATTTTGGCCCCGACCGTGACCATCAGCTGCCGGATGAAGATGAGGGATCATGCACTAATGAACCAATCGAAGTAATCGATCAATCGTGTTCTAGTGAGGAGGTACCAGGCCCCAGTACTGCAGATAAGGATCTTGACTTTAACAAGTCATTTAGCATCTTAAGTGACCTCAAGACTCAAATGTTCAGGTAATATTATATATTATAATTAGCATAAGCTCTCTAAGGGAAGAATTTTATTCCTGATTCCTCCTCGATCATTCAAAATATTGGTTCACTTAACAAAAATGTAATTTGATTGAATTAATGAGTCATTAACATAGTATCACTACAAAGAATCCTTATTTTAACTTAATTTGCTTCTATAAAGATCAATGTCTCAGACATAGCCTCATGAATTGAACTCGATTTCAATCATTGTGCTCACAATCATTGCAACAAATGGTTATCAATCAATCGAACCAATCATTTGATAATCAACCGAATGGATCAAAACCACAATAATCAGATACGCAACACCTTTCAAAATATATCTACAGGATTCCTGCATCTAAAAGGGGAGAACTCCTCAAACTTATGGAAGACACTGTTAGAGACCAGCTTATACCCTCGTAAGTCTTTAAAATTTAACTACTTCCTTCTGAATTCAGATGTCATATTCTAGCATTAATAATACTCTTAAAAAATCTTGAGGAAAGGCCCTAAGGTGTGAAAGTAACCTAAATCGGTATATTTTTGGGCTGCCAGACTTTGGGGCCGGAGTGATATGATCCACCATATACGTCATCAAGTAATTAACATGCAAGCTTGAAGCTTGTGGCGTATAATTAGTGATGTGATCCATGGATTGAATATAGTTGACCTAGAAATGGGCTAGATCTGGGGTAGAGTTCATATGAGTTGGGTATGTCGTGTAGAAAGAACAAAGGTCGTACAGAATACTGCTGGAAGGAGTCTTTCCAACAGCAAGCCGATCCAGATGATAGTCTGTTGCTCCTTAGAGCAACATCTTCAAACATCCTCTGAGCCAAATACAACAATGTTTAAAATTGCTAAACAAGTTTGAGTAATAAATTATGATCATGAATTAACCAGTAATCGACCGGAATTGGCAATTTTGAGCTATCCCGGTCCCGGTCAAGTCACATTTTTCATCCCGGTCTCGGTCCCGGTCCCGGTAAATTGATAATCTCTTTGAATCTCAGTCCCGGTCAAGTCACATTTTGTATCCCGGTCCCGGTCAGGCCTGAAATCATGTCCCGGTCACCTCCTGGTCAGAATCAAGCACCTGTTGACATCCTCTGAAACCGTTGAGGAACTTGGAGAAGGTAGGCATGACTGTTGATAGAATGCGATACTACTACCTTCTATCACCCAATATTTATAATACCTAGAACACTAGATCGGCTCACTCCCCTTGCATGCCTTTGACACGTACGTCTCACATGTGATCTACGAGTCGAGCAGTCAGATCATGTTTACTTCTTAATGTACAGCTATGATTTACAGAATTGACATGTGAACTCTACCCCAGATCTAGCACATTTCTATGTCAATTAAATTCAATCCATGGATCACATCACTAATTATACGTCACTAATTGGTGACGTGATCTGACCCCTCTTTGGGGGCCGGATCAGTTTCCGGTCCCAAAGTCTCCCAGTGTATTTTTGGACGCTGATTTCGAATCACTTCCCGTAGGGTAAAAACGCTTCCCTGGAAATTGATAGGCAAAAACCTGTTTTGGTCACGTGACATTATAGTTAAACACGAATTCGAATGTTTAGGGCTCGGGTTATAGGTTTAGGTCTATAGTTAGGGTCACGGATATAGCTTCAGGGTTATGGTTAGGATTTGGATTAGGGTTAATGTGAATTTTGAAACCGTTTTGTTCGACTGCAAAACCATTAAAACCAAATTCACGTGATAATGTTAAGGCAAGCGAATGAGTGAGAATATAGTAACAAATAGTCACAATATTACCAACGCATGTAGTCACTCACTAGTCACAGCACACAATTATACTAATAAACTGGTATAAACGAAACCGGCATATCCAAAGATTTTAAATCAATCTATTGAATAAATTTAAATATATCAATTTCTTTCAGGGTTCGGAAGCTAGGAGAAAATGCCCAAATCCGCCGAGACGATTTTGCAGCCACTTTACCAAAGCCAACAAAGAAAAAGCGGAAACTATTTCCGAAATACACTGGTCAACACAGCGATAGTGATTTCGAGTAAAAATTTATGACCATTCTGCCTTTATAATTAATATTATATCCATGATGCACTGTTATATTGAGCACAAAAAATATCTTTAATTTTGAAACTTTAGGATTTGCGATTCCGCTTTTTCCTCGTTTGATTCGGTAAAGAGAACAGAGAAGACAGAGAATTAACATTTTGTTGTTTACTATCGGATACGTGTTTGGCGCTCAGAATTAAATTGACTATATAATTCGGCCGGTTTTGATGAGCGAGTTCATGCTTCTGCCACGTGTTTTATTTTGCAATCCAACTGCAATAGAGAAAGCCTCACTGAATTAGGCACTTATAGTTGCACTAATATAATAATAATATGATGCGATGGATAATTTCATTTAGAGAAATTTAGAGATTTTTAGATATTTAGTGATATTAAAGTTGTCACATAGGAGTTCACCCACACTTGCCATGCACAGATTAAAAGTTTTAATAAAGCTATCTTATACTTAAATATCGATCATGGTCGGTATTATATAGGTTTGAGGAAAATCGTATAATTACAGAATCTGAAGTATCAAAATATAATGATTGATTAGTGGTTTTGGTCAGTTACTGTTAATTGCTCCCGATATTGTTAATTTCATTCAGACTCTTTGAGTTCTATTTAACAACTGCAGTTATTTTATCACTTTTATAAGGCGACCAGCGATATATTTTGTTAATGATTTTTTTTGCCTTCATTTATTTTATCAACTGTAGCGTTTATATTAAAGATTACCGATCTTTACATCTTTACATCTTTACATGTTGTTATTATAATTCTAACAGCTCATTGACGAGTCGTCATAAAATTTTGTTTTAATTCTTCAAACATGCAGCTAGCTGGTACAAGAACCAGATAACATTCTTGCGACGTAATTAATATAATTAATTGACATAATAAAATAATAAAATATGTTACACTGTATTTAAGTATATGTAATATGCAACCTGGTCCTTGTGCCGAAAATTCAATTAGCTAATTACCGGCCATGCGTTGCATAAATTCCATATTAGGGCCCATTTCGGTCACAAAGCGGAGCTTAAATTGAGTTTATTGCACGCGCGGTTGACAAATTATGTGAAAAAACTGTCCTGTCACAAACAATGCGCGTTATAGAGGTGACCAATGAAATCACGGCATTAAAAACACGTGATAGCGCGCTGGCGAGTGAATTAGTAAAATCCTACGAAGTAGCGCGCGCCGGGCCAGACCATTAACATTAACAATGGTCAAGGCTGGCATGGCCGTGAGCCAAATTTCATTTAAAACTGATTAGACTGAATAACAATGTGACACATATTATAAACTAAAAAGCAATATTGAATATGACACTTGACAGGATTGAGGTTCTGAAAGTTGAATCATGGATGATGTATAAATGTTTTTTGTATCACGTGGTGATTCACACTGTCGCTTCACTATAGTGGTAGAGTTTCTACGATACAGGGGGCTAGCCGCGCACTCGTGCGCGGCGGGTCATACAACGTATGACAAAATATTTCCAGTTTCCACCGAAAACACATTTTAATTTTGATTTCTTAAAAGTATCGCGCTACTTTTATTTCACATTTCGACCGCGAGGCTAGGCAAATGCTATTAAGTAAGTAAAGTTTTGTTTTATCATTTTGATGTCCACAGTTTTAACTTGATTCACGATGTCAATCCTTCGCATTTCGCCGATCTGCATTTGTGGTTGCGAGAAGCATTATTTGATGCGCGCGCGACCCAGTAGTGCATCGCGCTACAAAGTTTTAACTTGATTCACGATGTCAATCTTTCGCAGCTTGTCGAGGCCCAACGATGCATTTCGCCTATCTACCGGCCGTGGTTGCTGAAAAATTTATTTGATGGGCGGTGCGGCTTCGGGCTTATTACTGGGCCGCGCTCAGCCTGTCATTCCGCCGAATCTCTATTCATATGTTAATGAACATGATAGCCTGAGGTCCCCAGGTAATGCGGCTTAATAATGGATCGCGTTACATAATTTTAACATTTCTCTTTGCTTGACGATGTCAACCCATCGAGATCGTTGCTTTGCGAAGCACAGCAACAAGCAACGATCGACGATGCGAAGCAAGAATGTTAGTTCGCGCGGCGCGGCGAAGCGGCGAAGTCTTCCAACTTTTCATTTCACTTTCACATAAATTTAGTAAATAATCGAAATTCGATCAACGAAACTAACATTCAATATGATTTCAAAATTTAAAGTATTTTAACTTTCAATTTCATTGTTAACGGGTGATACTAGTAAAATATCTGTTCCATATATTGGACTGTCGACGAGTCCAACTCGGCGCGCGTCCTGGTAGGTTGTAAACCTACAATTTCATTGTAACAAAAATATTTTAAAACGCCAAATTATTTTCGACGCACCGCGCATATTTTGTTTTTCCTCGCCATCCTGAGTAGTCCTATAAAATCGAGCGCTACATCTAAATTTCCTCAATTGATTGCAACATTTTTAACTATTTCAGTCGATGCTATCTTCAGCATCGGGGAACTGGGTTATTATTTCTGGTAAGCCGGAGATAATGATTAATTACTTTATATACACTCTACTGTCACGTGACCTTTTTAAAACGTCCTCTAGGTGGCTCTTAATGACTATTCGAAACCCTAACACTCTAGTCTGATCTCCACCCTAACCCTTTACACTAACCCAATCCCTAACTGAATCATATGCTGAAATCCTAACCCTAACGAGAAATTAGACCAACTTCCTTGTATCGGCTTGACGTATCTGCTAGAGGAGTTTGGACTCCATTTGATAAGACCTTTCTTGACATAAGGGTTTCACACCCCAATTGCTTATCAAACAGGACCAAAACTCTTCAAGAAGTATACGAAGAGAACGAAAAGGAGAAGAAGGATGAGTACTTGGAGAGAGTGTTGAACGTAGAGAAGGCCACTTTCACCCCAGCCGTATTTCTCACAACTGGAGGCATGTCCAAAGAATGTAAGCGGTTTCCAAATAGAGTGGCAGACCTCATCGCCAGGAAAAGAAAAGAGAGGTATTGCGATGTGGTAAGACATGTAAGGACAAGAATAAGATTCGCTATGTTAAGAACCACACTCATAGCTCTACGAGGGTACAGAGGGAAAAAAATGGACAGCAAATATGAGACACCACTATCAGAAGTCTCTTATAACCTCATCCCTGCCCCTATGATGGAGTAGATGTGTATTATATATATCTGATTGTTGATGTTTCATATTATATAATATTGGTAGCAGTGGACAATTTCCGTTACCTCTGTATTGTGCTCTGCCAATTGCAACACTTGAATTACTTTATTGTATATATACTGTTTGACACTCTTTCTCACTTCCTTGTATGGTCATATCACGTTATCGAGACGGTTTTTCGCCGATATCTCTCTAGTGGAGCATTTTAACCCTATGTCATGTGGGGTAATTCGGAACCATCATTCAAAAATACATAGAAATAGGCAGATTTCCCTAAATTTATTATTACGCTCCTGAAATTTTGGCTCTGGTAACTAATTAATGTGACACGATGTTATTGTAAGATGACAATTAAATAGACCCTGTGCGCTGCGCTCACGCCCAAACCTAAGGATTACTCAACAATGTGTGGCTTTGTGCGCAGCAGTACTAGTAAATCCTGTAAAATCAACTAATTTGTCTAATCTTAGGGAGGGGCACCCCCCCCAAGATGGGGTCAGTATTTGTTACATCACTGTGTACATCCAAACCATAATTCGGAATACACTTTATTCCTTTAGTTGCTTGATTTCCATTGGGATCAAAGATTCCATTGAAGAGTTTCAGATTGGTCAAAACGTGGGTCAAAATAAACCACTGCACTTGATTTACCCTGGCTTAATCCAGAAGTTTCTGTCATTACTTCAGATGATTGTTTATCCTTTATAAGTTAAATCCTTCATTTTTCCTTCTTTTCCCTAAATGTGTCTACTGGAAAGTTCATACACATTAACGTTTTATTTGGTGTATCATGTTTTAATAGTCTTGCATGGTTTACAATATGAAGGTTGCTTTTCTAGGTTTAATGTGTCCTGTCCTCGTGGCACACCTGTGCATTTTAAGTTGTTGTGCCACTGTAATATAAAAGTTTAAATTATTACTATTATTATATCGGGTCTCAATAAGAGGTCTCAACTGCCTAGGCATCAAACCTTCAACCTTGGCAATCGGTAAATTTCCTCTGGTCCGGAGTCAGCTGACCCTAGGGACCAGAGGATAAAGGCGTAGAGACTGTGTGTATCTACAAAAGTGGTTGTTTTTACTAGAGACAGGGCTTGCAACGCAAGGGAAGAAAAACAGGAGAAACAATCACAAAATGCATATTATATGACTTAAATAGAAATTCAAACAATCCTACACTACAATACATTAACAACTATTATTATTATTATTAAGTAGTCACTGTTTTAATTTTCTGTATAGTATTAATCATGTCACTATCTTCATAACCTTTTAGTAGGGATTAGGGAGCTCTGGGATAGAGATGATGTGGTTGTTTGGGTGGACTACTTTTGCCATCATCCTTACATTTTCCCACTGCAAGACAGTCACGTGAGTAAATTGAAGCTGGAATTTCCAACCTAATAATCTTGGCTAGTTGATGTAGGTGTGAGCAATCTTTGGTTTCCATGACGTTCTGAACATTTGCCTTTTTCAGTTTCATCTCTAACTCCAAGATTGCTCGAGACAACAGGGGAACAATAGTCACCAAATTCACATTTCATGGTTAGTGCTGCCAATTTTTGATTTCATAGTTTTTCTCTCATAATCAGTACTCTAAATGCAAACTCATTGATCTAAAAAGGAAAGTACAGTTTTGTATTGATACTTTAATTATAGAATTCTGCAACATTAATGAATATTCAATAATTTTTAAACGGTAGTTCTCAAGAAGCTAACATCATCAGGTAGTCAAGCTCTAGCAAGGCTGAGAGGTAACGACAGTATTGGAGGACTCTATTTCTTTCCAAGAGATAAGATTCTTGCAGAAAGATCTAAAAATGACTGTAATCAGTTCTTGCGTGGAGCTTCATTTTCATGTTAGTGACAGTTTAGGGAACATTATAATATCCCACCTGCTATGGATAGCTTAGGACAAGCTTAACGTTATTTTTATTTTATGTAATTAAACTTCCAAAACAAAATTTTAAATCCGTTAAATAATTTTACCACGTTTTCAATATGAAACTCGTTATTCCTTCTGTAATTAAAATTTGCTTTCCAGTGTTTCCTAAAAACTCAGAAACTGATTTCAAAGAGCGCAAGTTTCCCCTGTGGTCGAAGGAACCACACACCTTCTATGCACTGTTTGTAGATGCAGCCACATGTTACCCCCAGTACCCTAATCAGAAGAATGTTGGACTTGAGCTTCACCTTCTTAATGATGAAGCTTCTGGTGGACATCTTTCTGCAGAGGAAAATGGTATGTAAAGGAATGTGTATTGTTTACTGATCAGTAAATTTAGAGTTACGAACTTATGATTTAATCTGTAATTAGAGATATTTTTATTCACACGTCATGACAAACTTCTGCCCTATTCGTTGTTTTGCTTTTTGACATTATGAACGCTAAATCAGTCTTTTATCATCAATTTTGTAATATAAAAATAACAAACAATCCATTCCATATAGGATTGAAAGCAGCACATTTGTTATTACTCCTCTTGTTTGTTGCTGGTTGTATTTGGTTTGGTATCTCATTACACGGTATCATATCTGGAAGTGGTTCTATGCTTTTTGTTATGCAGGTTTGTCATTATAATTTATATATATCATTATGGTGTACTGCACCAGATTAACCCAGGCTAAAGTGTTTATTTTTTCTTGTATTATGCAAAAAAATATGATCGTTAATGAGCTGTTTTGAATGACTTCTTAGAGTATCATACAAACTTTCGTAAACTTATTTCCCTCTCTCCCCCTAGTTGTTCCTGGCATGTTCAGCGCTACAAGGGTTTACTCTCATGATCCCCACCCTACACTGGGTGACGTATGAGAGTAGCGGGTGGGGCTGGCCTTTCCTTTACTCCCTTACTGCCCTCTCTGCGCTGGCTGCAGATTTGGCTATGGTCGGTAAGTTAACTTGAGATATTAACAGTTTATTAGCATAAAATAAGTACTAATATTAAGTTGTAGTCACACAGGAACAACCGGAATTGACACGGGCAAATCATTTGTTACGCACCCTACGCAATTATCAATTAAGTCTTGTACTTAGTATATAATATGATTTAATATTGTATGGGCGTGGTATAAAATATTCAAATTTTGGCGACAGAATCCTCGAATGAGTAGGTACAGTATGTCATCTGCAGAGCAACAATTCTCAAATATATGAAACCTGTGGTATAAGACCCAACGTATGTAAACTGACTTTTGGCCCCCTCCCCTGAAGTAAACTCACATTTCTGGTGATATAGCTATTTTGTATGTATTTTAAAATTTTAATGTACATTTATAATTATTTATACTACTTAATTTGGTTGATCATAGGTTGCCAGAATGAACATCATTAAGCCTTATTTATGAAGGTGTTTACTGTTTAATATACGATAATATAACGGCCGTTTAGTGCGATTTGGTAAATAATACCACTGAAGATGATATTCGTTTAATAATCAAACGAACAAGTTTGACGAGTAACTGCCTAAACACTTCAAAGAGTGTGTTATGTCTAATAAGTGAAATAACGACACTGCTACTAACACAACTGTAGTTGTTAACAAATATATATCTCAGGTTTGGTGGTGGATATCGTGCTGGGCTGGACCCTCGGCAGCTGCAAGAGAATAACTACCTCCAGATCCGAAATGGTTCGTTTTATCACGTGATATTTTCCTTTTATTCCTGTACCTGGCTACATTCCGCTCACATAGTCTCAAATAGCTCAATCCGCAATCGTTACGCGCCGTTACTTTCTTCATCATCATGTCATCATCAATCATCATGTCATCAAAACTCAAAAGTTTGTCTAGACTTTCTTCACAGATGATAATTTATTTATTTATTTGTCAGATTATTGACCTGAATCACTTGTTTTAATTTTATAGATTTACGTCATGTAGTAATGAAACTCGTCTCACTGGATGGAATGCGTCAGATATTTTCTTAAAACGAGTGAAGAAAAGAGCCAGTTCCGGTTCCAACCCAGCTGAAAAAAGCTAATCCTGAGCTGGCCGTGTTTTACTCCCAGTGCAAATATCTTGAAAATAAATCTCTAAAATATTCAGATATCAAACATAAAATGACACACTCAGAAACCGTTCCATATCCTCATTTAAATTTACTTGACGTAACAACCCGATATTGATACGGCTATAACCATTCCAACTTATGTGCAATTTATCATCAATTCTCTCTGTCTACATAAGGAATAATCCCTTGTGCATTAATCACTAGCACCCTCCACGCTCCTACAGCACGCTTATAGATTAAGTAACTGGTACAGGCATATGAACCGTATATGACACGTGACAGCAATTAGCCTATTAGATCCCAGCGTTACCCAATATAAAGCCAGAATCAGTAACCAAATGTAATCTCCCAATATATAATAATTACAGATAGGGTCACTTACCAGAACTATTTATCGCCCTTTTATAGTACATTAGTATTGCTCTGAAGCAGTTCACTGCATAACGCCTCGAGTTGATCCTGTTCACTCAGCTGTTCACTCAGCTGTTCAGTCTAGCTGAAGTAAGATTTAGGGAAGTTGTAAATAGCCCTGACAAGTATTGGAGTATTGGTGGCTGCGTAAAGGGCAGGGTTACTAGGGTTAAACTATTCTAACTCTTATGTTGTCTACTTGTAATGGTTACTAGTGGTTACTAATGTTGTATACTTGTAGTGGTTACTAGTGGTTACTAATGTTGTCATTTGTAGTGGTTACTAGTGGTTACTAATGTTGTCTACTAGTAGTGGTTACTAGTGGTTACTAATGTTGTCCTCTTGTAGTGGTTACTAGTGGTTACTAATGTTGTCTACTTGTAGTGGTTACTAGTGGTTACTAATGTTGTCTACTTGTAGTGGTTACTAGTGGTTACTAATGTTGTCTACTAGTAGTGGTTACTAATGTTGTCTAATAGTAGTGGTTACTAGTGGTTACTAATGTTGTCTACTTGTAGTGGTTACTAGTGGTTACTAATGTTGTCTACTTGTAGTGGTTACTAGTGGTTACTAATGTTGTCTACTTGTAGTGGTCGGGTTACTGCCGCAACGTGCCGCATATTGTCCAGAATATACAGGATCTAGGAAAGAGGAGGATATCTTAATAATTATTAAATTAATTAATCGAATAAATTATTTGCTTAATGTGGGAACTTGACCGTTTGATGAGATCCGACCACATATTATGATAAACATTGTTTATACAGGGTGTTTCATAAATAGTGTCCTGTTTTTGATTTATTGTCAAATTTAGTACAAATGAAATAACTTTTCAAATTTTGGTTGTAAGTGTAACAAATATATCAAAAAATCATAAAACACAATAAAATTTGATTCAATAATTTATTATCTGCTCGAACCATCGTCCTTTATTGGAGAGCACATGTTGATATCGGGTGAGGCAGTTGTCTACTGCAGACTGCACCGTGCTCAACTGTATTCTCCTTGCCTCTCTCCTGATATTCTGCTTAAGTTCTGCGGTTGTTTTAGGGACTGGATTGCTATAGACTTTACTTTAGAGCAGATTTCGGCCTACCCGTACGCATGTTCTTAATCAGGGTACAATCAGTTTCTAGCTTCTTTACAAGACGTCGTATTGTCCTATCATCAAGTTTGCTGAATTTAGACTTGTTCTTCTTCTGTAGCAGACGCCTAGCACTTGTCACACTGCCTCCACAAATCCAATAAGTCCTCACAATATCGAGTTTTGTTTCTTTTGTGAACCCCATTTTTCTCAAAATTCGACTTTTTGGAACAGAGCCAAAAAAACTAACAAAGTTGAATCGCTGGAACAAATGAGCTTAACAGATTAAATTTGTAAGGTTTATGAACTAATGGCAACCAATAATGGGAATTTTGCTCCTTTATAAAAAAAATTATTGTTTTTTAAAATCAGGACATTATTTTTGAAACACCCTGTATATAACGAATAAATATAATCAATAATTATCAGTCATATTTAAATGACTTGATAAATAAATTGCACGCTTCGACGTCATACATTATAGATGGTCATTAATTTTATTTATTCAAGCGTGACTATTCTCTATTTCCCTTATTCAAATTTCAGATACTTAGATACATATTAAAATTTGTTAAACTGTATGAGACAGGTTTTAAATATTATGATAGAAATATTCTGAATATGATAGAAATATTCTAAATATGATAGAAATATTCAAAATATGATAGAAATATTCTGAATATGATAGAAATATTCTAAATATGATAGAAATATTCTAAATATGATAAAATATTCTAAATATGATAGAAATATTCTAAATATGATAAAATATTCTAAATATGATAGAAATATTCTAAATATTTCCAGGTGTTCCGTGTGGTGGCGGTGCTGGGTGTCCTGCAAGTTGTCCTTCATTTGTACACAGCTACCATCGATACAAACGACCCCAACTACTACAGTTTCAGCGCCAAGACTGAGATTCTGCAGGGACTTGTTCTGGTAAGTCTTATATTGATAGTTGACACGTGATAGGAATGAGCACGTGACAGGAATAAGCACGTGACAGGAATAAGCACGTGTCAGGAATAAGCCAGATAGATTCCACTATTTTATATTCACGTTCTAAATTACACACAACGCTGCTATCTAACTTTCTCTAAAGAACAGAATTATAAAACCTTCATTCTGCGCCAATTTGCTCTGTCAAAAGCAATATTTCTAAGATAATTTAAATTATGAATATTATTAAGAAACTATTCCACTATTGTCCAATCAAACCACGGAATCACTTGTCACGTGTTAAATAATATTACCTCCCCACTAGAATCCAGATTTATTAATTACTTCTGATTATGTGTTTAATTGCTTAATTACTTCTGATTATGTGTTTAATTGCTTAATTACTTCTGATTATATGTTTAATTGCTTAAGTAATTATTTATTAATATTTAGGCTCAAATCAATTTCCAATCTGATTATCGGATCCACCAAAAAAGTCGGATGAATTTCAAAGATTTTGATATTTCCATCATGGTCAACACGACAACACACATTTATTTTCAGTTGGCACAAGGATGTTTCTTCTTAGCTATCTTAGCAGGAACAAACGGTGAAGATCGCAGCGCTCTCAGACAGGATTTCTACTCCTCTTTCGCCTGGGTAAGTGCACTTTTATACATTTATTTAATTTATTAACTTTATAAACAGGGTGGGTTGAGATCAAGTGACAGCTCCGTGAATATTGTTATAAGTGCGTTTATAATTCGCGAAAACTGTTTTCTAGATATCAATCCACTCTTTTTCTTAACTTAATTATATTGATCAGTTTTAAATTATTGTAAAGGTATATTTTTACATTATTTGTTGAAAAGATTGTTTTGCGAAGCTTTAATGAGCTGATAACGTTACTTTTTAACGAGTTAAATAAGCTGACTTCTGTAAAAGCGTTGTGTAACTGCAAATGTGAAAGTTCTAAAACATACTAATTACTCTTATCAAGTTAATGTGCATTCTTCTGAGCGATTTATTCAAGTACGGAACTTGCATTTTGTCTTAGCAAGTGTCTCTAGCAAGATCATCTAACTGATCTGAGAATTAAATCAATTTCTTTCTTAAAGCAATTTAATGAGCAGAAGGTTTCATTTCCCTGAAGTATGGTTTAAACTGTTCATGTGTGACGAACATGACAGCTTCTTAAATATGGAATCAAGTTAAATAACCACTTTTAGTTAAATAACCACTTTTAGTTAAATAACCACGTTTCAATAAATTCTTACGAAAATTATTACGAAAGCCACCAAAGTTAGGAGAACGTGATGACATGTCACATGTGAAAGTTGACCAATCAGCATCTTCTGTTATTACGGAGGTTGATTTTGATTCCAGTTCTACCTTTGATGTTAAGCTGTTTTGTCTCGAACATGTTCTACGGAAATTTGAAATTTCTTTATCATTTAGAGAACTAAATTTAGTTATAAATAACTAAATTTAGTTCTCTATCCGCCACTGCTGAGATTGCTTCCATTTCAAGAGCGGACGTAGAATTGACAACATGTCTAATTTTGCAGCTTGCGAAAGTTGTGTTCTTTGGAATTCGGGAAAGCGAATTTTCCAAATCTGTTTAGAATTTCTCTGTATTTGTGCACCTGGGTTTTTTTGATAGCTACTTTCAAATCAATTTCTTAATGATGATTTGTGACAGCTCCACAATTGAAAAAATGAATGATGACATGCCCTTTCATTACGAATGTCGTCGTCCAAGCCATTTTTGATCGTTTATTACGCATTGTACTGGTGTTAAAAAGCTCATGAAATTCAACCATATCTGTGTAATATAGTTAGTATCTTCTGGGTCACCCTGTAGTATCTCCTTTTAAACGTAATCATTATGATAATCCTCTCAAAAATTCATGTTGTAACAACCATATCATTACTTCCACTGTGGTTAGGTTATTAAATTGGTTAAAATTCAAAATTACTCTTAAACAAAGCAACTTAATAACTAAATCGCTGATAGCATTCCAAAACGTGCAGAAAATTATAACTATTTATGGAGATAAAATTACAAACAGTCGCAGTTACACAGCATTTTTATGGTATCTCATTGTTATGTTTTTATCTTGTCTGTGAAGATTGTACCATATTTTCAAGGTCGCAATTCCTTATCATTTGTATCAATTTCTTAACTACTCTCTTCAATTTTTTCAGTTTAAAATAAAATGTATTAGTTTTTTTACACTTCAAATTCGTAATTTGTTAATTCGAAAATTAGATAAATGAATCCCTTATACCAATTGAATGATAGCAACTGTCGACTGATGTGTCACCCAATCTGAATTGCGACCTTGAAGTAAACTGTATCACCGTGTCATTACTGCATACTGACTGGACCTGAAAATTAAAATAAATGTTAAAGTGATTGACAGACCACTCACCGGCAAAGTTATTTAAAAATAAAGTTGTTATTTAATAAATTTACGTCTTAAACAATACATTAGATGATTTTAAAGTATATATAATTTAAATTATCGTAATGATTTTTAACTTGTATAATAATTGTACTTGTTGTACTACTTGTTCTATTAAAGTCCACTGTGAAACATTGTCGACTGCACGATTGTAATGTTGCCAGACGAAATGGGTCTGAAATGATCACTGATCGCATGACTGATCACATGACATTACACTAAAGCAACACATTATTTGCTATAGAGTGATCTCAGGCGCCAATTTGTTCTGACAATATTATAAACTTGCAAGTTGTGTTATGTTTAAATGTAAGTAATTTAACCCAAGCTAATCGCTCAATCTGCGGCTTATGTTGTATTATATAAACAAATATGTGAACATAACTCACTAAAATAGTCCTTGTCACGTGTTTGTTGTTTATATTAACGGTGGTTTGCTAATCTTTATTGTGTAAACACTGCAGTGTGTAGTGCGGTGGTAAATCTATTTACATCATACTAATTGTAACGCTGGTGATGTACCGAAATAAGTTTACTCATTCGGTCTCATTCTACTTAATGTAAAATTAGTGAATAAAATTTCTGAGTTATCAAAATAAATGTAACCCGTGAACTGTGAAGCAAATAGAGTACCAGCTGTATTGTCAAATTACTAACTACTGCAGCCGCTGTTTGGGATATCAGCTGTATGTGGTTATTAGTACCACTGTTAAATTACTGACAAAGTTAACTTTCCATCCCATTTAACATAGTTAACATTGCATAGTTAACATTGCACAGTTAACATCGCATAGTTAACATTGCATAGTTAACAATACACAGTTAACATTGCACAGTTAACATTACATAGTTAACATTGCATAGTTAACATTGCACAGTTAACATTGCACAGTTAACATTACACAGTTAACATCGCATAGTTAACATTGCATAGTTAACATTGCATCACTCTCTGAACATTCCAGATTATAATATCCTGGTACTCTGCACACCCCGTCTCCCAACTAATCGTCCTGTTTATGGCCGAATACAACCGTCTCAAGGTATTCGTGGCTATATCCCAGTTCCTGCGGGGGTGCGCGCTAGCACAGCTCGCTAACCTCTTCATCAAGCGCAGCCTCTTCTGGGAGGTCTCCTCTCAGTCTGGTACTTCTATGCCCTTCACGGAGCGCAGCTTCGCGCGCAGGACGGAGAATGATCAGCACGTGCAGAATGATCAGCACGTGCAGAATGATCAGCACGAGCAGATTATGACCGGGTTTGGGCACCAGGGATATGATAAACTCACCAAACGTCATTAGTATAGGTCATTTGATGGGTTAATTTGATCAAAGTTCAATTTTGTTGTTTTCAAACCATTTTCTTGTTTTGTTAGATTGTTTACGATTTTTAACATGTTCTTTGCTTGACATAGCGTAACACGCTATGCAAGGGTATTTATTGTTATTATTAGGGGGTTTTTAACGAACATTTTGGAATTTCTTTGATACGTTTTTATAGATTTTTATCAACTTTGTACCTTGTACTTTTCTAAGACATCTAACATTTGTACCATTCCTCACCGTACATATTTTGTATATAATAATACAATTATACCCAGCATTCATTTTATGATTAATGCTCAAACAGTTTATATGATTTTCAGCATCACCAATGAATATAATATTTTTTCTATACTTTACATATTATTGTATATAATTATAAACATAAACTCTTTAACTTAGATTTTTATCTCTTTTTATATTTGATACTCTTGTACACAATAAATAGCATATTTTTTCTCTGTAGATAATATATTGATTATGACGTTATAAAAGCTTAAAAACTTAAGTTTTTACGGGTTGTATTCTTCCTTTTTAGTATTTTGAGTGGGTTAGAAGTTGTCGTGCTAACAAAAAGTCAGTTTGGGGTAAAATTCAGGGTTTCGTTTGTTAACAAAAACGTACTTAATCAATATCTAAATTAAAATGTTTAAAACAGCAGTTTAAATTTGTAAAAACATTTTTAAATTTTCGAGAATTTAAAATTTTCAAGAATTACGTCAGTTAACAATAATTGTCAGTTTCCATTATTCTGTAATACAATCTGTTAAATATCTAACAATCGAACTGTTAAGACCATCGATTTTGGTTTTGATCATCCACCATATCTTTTATTTGTCTTAAACTCAGCAGTCCAGCAATTCTTGAAATATTTGAAATTTGGCAGGAGGTGCTCACCCAACCCACTCAGCAGGTAATAAAAACGTTAAAATTTTTCAGCGGTACTTGTTACCATATTTACTGAGATTATATGCCACGTATACCAAACACGTACATCAAACACGTACATGAAACACGGCGTGTACACACCAGACATACATATTAAATAGTGTCTCATTTCCTCTGTTTCAACTTTGTAAATCTCTTTAAATGTGGTTCTCGTCATCACACCGTCAAATTTAACCGTACTTTATCTTACTTTACTTTACGTATTATATTGTAGTTATATTAGTTACAGTGTAATTATATTACACTCAACGAATTACAGACGGTTATTATCATGATGTCATGGTTTTCAGTTTTATCTGTTTTGTTTTAAAACATCTCACCAATAATGATCTTATTTTGTTTGAAACAGTATGTGCTAATGAGTTTTACTAACTAAAAGTATGTGATAATGAGTGTTTACTAATTGAAAGATTTCAGTTGAATCTGACAATGTTTTGGTCAATTTTCGCCACGGGGAAAGATACACATGGAGAAATATTGCCAGTCTTGTGCCCTGTCACCGTAGATAATGTGCTTTATGGAGGGCGCGGTGCAAGACGTATGACAAAAAGTGTACCCTCAGAACATCTAGTATGCGCGGCTTGACGCGCGCATCTGTACGTGGTTACGACAATGTGATGAATCTTGTTTTATAGTAATGGACTGGGCTCCGGCCGTACAGTTGATCTTGATACCATTATTACCGTTTCATTGCATACGAGAGTTCCTTTCAGACTTTAATATCTTCAGTTGATCACTATTTTAAAATCTTTCAATATAGTTTTATAGTTCAAAGTATTACGCTAACTCCATAGACCATGGTTACGCATCTCCTTAAATAACATCCGGGTCACTCGACAGCGTTTCATACAGTAGAACCCGCCTGATCATTTGTTCGAGAAAAAACAGAATAGTTTCGGTTACATTTTTGATTGAGTTGGCATAAATTGAGTTCAATGCAATTTATTTCTAATCGTGTGTGAGGGTTAAATGGGGAGCTGTGCAATATAGTACAGCGAAAAAGCAAAACTCAATGGATGGTTACCGTAATGGGTGCCACATGCCTAGCATGAAATATTTACCTACTTACTTACACTTGTGTAGGTCTGTAGAAGCATTAGAATCGGGCGTTGCCTGCCACAGGCTATCCCGAATTTAGAAGCTTGCTTTCATCATAAGGTGCGGTCAGTGGTTAGATACGTACGGGGTTGTTTTAATTTCATAATTGCTTAGTATTCATCTTTTTTGGTTCTCCACTCTTTAGCTTGCAGAGGCACCCACACGCCCCTGTTAGCGCGTTAACAGTTTTGAACATTGAAAGGGGGTCCGGTTTGGGAGTTTGAATTACTAATGGTATTAATATTTTGTATGGCAATATTTTATCTGATAATAGCATTAAATCTAAAGTATATCCGATTTGAGTGCCAGAACCATATTTCTAAGAAAAATCATTACGTCAGAATTATGTTCCACATTTAGAGTAAGTATTAGAAGGAATGTTAAAAAGCAAAGACTAAACTTGAAGCTGCTAAAACATGAAGATACCTGAATGATAGAACTGGTAGAGCTTGTTCTCATCTTAGCAAACATCGCAATGGTGTATTTTTGTGAAACGATTGAACTTACATTATACTTCTATTATATTATATTATGCTAGCCAATATGTCTGTATAAGTTAGGAGATAAAACCTAACAAAATGCATTCAGCCGCGAAACTTTACATTGTGCCCTCTTCTTTCACCTTCTCGAACTCTCTTTTTGCTCTTGCTATAAGTACCTATGACAACAGTGCAATAACTCAAGATGTAAGTAAAATAAACTCCGCTTTTATGAATTAATTGCACACTCAGTTACTTGAATGATCATCTCCACTATCACGCGCAGTGCGTGATAAGAGGCAGTTTCCTTAACGCAGCTGTTCTAAACTCTATCACGCGCAGTGCGTGATAAGTTTCCTGCCACGTAGATTTAGGCCGCGGAGTCGATACAATAGTATTACGTCACCGCCTTGAGGATAGATATAATTGGTATTATAACTGAATCATTTCACGTTTGTGATGTATGTGACATTCTTCATCTACCGGATAAGGCGGTCGATTAAATTCACATTCCACTCGGAAGAACGAGGAAGTCGGTCGACATTCCACTTGTAAGTATAGATGTCGAGGAAGTTTATCAAATTCTTTGGTTGGTTCAATTAAATAAGCAATACACCTGACTTCTTCACATAGCATGATGTTATAGATTTCCTCAAATAAATTAAATGATTCCTATCAAATTGCAACATCTTTGCTTTAATATGTCAATCCACTTACAAATCAGACATAGCACATGAACGTTACAGAGAATCTCTAAATAGAGTTCAGTACTTTTACATGATCGTTAGCTGTGTCACTAAAACTTTACCATATATAAATAAACTTGCCGCTATATCCGGTCTGGCCACCTTCTAACTTGATTATTTTCATTACCCCCTCTTTAACTTGATCAATAGTTGATATTCAGGATACGCTAAGATTAGTTTAGATCTAGATACCGTTGTAGATCAGGGTCATGATTATATACATTGGGTATATTTATTAGTAGAATTGAATATTCACGAAGAAAATATAAATATATGAATATAGTCCACGACCATGCTATTCATTCCTAATGAATAAACAAAATAACACTAGGGCAAGCAATATTTCAGAGAAATAAGTAATGATTTACTAGACGTACATTCTACAGGATAAATTAAATATTCTCCCAGCTTAACCTGACTAATTTTTGCAAGTGTGAAAATTCAAAAGCTCGAACAACCCCTCACCAGTCTACAGTTCCTACAGGTGATATATCACGTACAATGTACATAGTACAAGTAGCTCGTCCTCACTGATTCATGTTAGGCCTGAACGCCTACCTGAAAGATTTATACACATTTTATTTATTCGAGCTTTTCGTTAAGAATGAAAGCAAGTCCTCCATATTATGAAGCCAGGGTGTGGACTGGCTACACCTGGTTAAAGCACTTCCATCCCATTACATAATAGTGAAATACAACAATATTATATGAAATCCTAATAGCTACAAGTCCACCCTCCTCACCAAAAGTCCACCCTCCTCACCACAGATCCCTACATGTGATAATCTAAAGTTCACGTACAAGTGATAGTCTAAATATCCGTACACTCTCTTCGGTTCACAAAACTCGCTTTTCTAAGAAAGGGGTTGGTGATTCCAAGAACCCAATATTAGACTCTGTAATCTACTCTACTCCCTCTATATGTAGTTGTTTTAGAGACCAACTGTGTTTGTTCCTGTGGGATCATTGTTCTAACTTGTTCTAGAACGTTTTATCTTGCTCTTAATCCCGTACTGTACAATGCACACATCTCGTTTTAAAGATTGTGTGTAGAATAATCATGGTACCACAGAGAGAGGTGAAAAACAGGTGCAGAGTACGAAGGGGCCCAAAAGTACGGCATATTAGCCCTTTCGAGCAACTCTGTACCTGATTTCAGACTCACCACGCGATTCTTACTATGGGGTCGTTCACATATTACGTAATCAATTTTTGGACAATTTTTAACCCCCCCCCGCCTCCGTAATCAGTTTTACGCATAGCTATATTGTAAAAATTACACTAGCGTAATCATTTGGAACCCCCCCCCCCCCCCCTCCGCTGATTACGTAATATGTGAACGATCCCTATCTAGTAGGTGCTGGTATGTCTCCTCGAGATAACTCTATTGTTTTTCAAGAAACGTGGAATGCTACACGTGGAAAAATACACGTGGAACCGTTATCTAGACTAACGATTATTTCAATTGATTTATTCGTTCTGGACAAATGTTTTCGGAAACAGTCACAAGCACTACCATTAGTAGCACCACTACTTTCAAACAGGAAGTAAGATAATACCCCTCCCATCGTGTAGAGTAATCAGGTGTCACATTCAAACAGGAAGTAAGATAATACCCCTCCCATCGTGTAGAGTAATCAGGTGTCACACGAAAATAGCGGAGAACTTTCGGACTGTACCTGATTTTAGTGCGGCGAACATGACCATCTGCTGACTCTGGTACTTTCCTTGTGAATATCTCTGTTGGCTACCTATAAACACGTGCGCTGGAGCATTGTCTGAATAATATCACAAACAATTTTATTAAATTAATCAAATCAGCTTTTAGACATGTGTTCCTTCCTTTAAAGTTGATCTTTATTGTTCACTCTAATCGTTCCCTGGCTTCATCCCATGCACAGTGTTTGTTGAGATCGTAATTTTAACTTGAGTACTTTTCTCTCTTGAGTGCCTTTCCCTCGCCCTTTTACATACTGGACGTATCAATCTGACCCAAGAGTAATTTACATGTTATGATATCAGATTTGTTCTAATATGAAATTAAAGTAACTTTTCATGGTGTAAACCCTACCTTATTGATAATGATATATTATACGTCAGAAGAGTGCATTGTGCTACGTGGCACTTGGAAACAAAGTAACATAGTAACCACTGCTGTATGAATGAAGTTATGCAAATG